TCCACGCGGCTCGTACCTGATGGCAAGGTTTCCATGGATATCACACACCTGTTCACCGTGATTACCTGTATTAGCCATACTGCAAGAGAAGAACGAGGGGAGGGGCAGATAAAAAAGGGGAAGACTCCTGTGAAAGTGACAGGGATGGAGTGATCCACAGAGAGCGACGCTCGCATCGGAAAGTAAGAGAGCGCGAGCAGTGATGGGAAAGTCCATGTTAAGAGCTAAAATGCCGAGCTCGTGATTTCAGAAGAAAGAGTGAAAAAGCTCAAGAGATTCGAAGCTGAACAGTCCCGTTCCAAAAAGCGAGTAAGTGTGTGGGAGAAGATGAGAAAGTGCATGAATTATCTATGTTAAAGTGCAACAAGCCATGGGTAAGAGGAGCTGGAGTGAGCGGATACAACACAAGGAGAAAATACGAGGAGAATCCGTGTCCGTGAAAAGGAATAATGGACAGAGAAAAGGAAAGAAAATTATTAATGAATTTGGCTTTGATTTACATCAGAAAAAAACCCAGGAGGATAACGAGGAAGGTTTGGACTCACTCTTCAAAGACGTCCTCTGTGTCCATCCTTCTGTAATACTTGGCCAGTTTGACAGAGAAGATGATGCTGGGGATGAGCAGGATGCAGCAGCTGCCGAGACCAAACCAGAATGTGTTCTGGAAAATAAAAGTACCAGTAATCACATTTTATGTGATTTCATTCATTGCTGTTACTTTTCACTAAACACTGAACTCTTAGTGCTAAAACACTGTCAAAAAGATTTCAAATCTTGATATTAAAGTGGGTATAATAAGAACTCATATTTGGCACAATGGCTGTACCTGTTTCTCTGTACCTGACAAAAGTTGCAGAGACTGAAACATTGTGTGGAGGTTATAATATATTTCTACATAACAACAAGACAACGAAACCACTATTTTATTGATTATTATCATTTATGGTCCACCTGCTTCGTATTATTCTAACATTATTGTAACACAATACAGTCCTGTGAAAAACTAAGTACACCCTTTCAGTCCATAACTTGTAGAACCATCTTCAGCATCAATAACTTGATACTTTTCCTGTATGAATTTATTGGGAATTTTGGCCCGATAACACAGGACTCTGTGTGAGAAGTTTGAGTCCAGCTTTATCTGTCACACAGATGGAGTGGAAGTGGAAGATGCCCAGTTCCCCTGGCTCCAAAACAAACCCAATTCATCATCCATCCTCCGCCGTTATGAGGTGTTTGTGCTGCTGTGTTTGGTTTTCATCAAATGTGGTGCTGTGCATTAAATACTTCACTTTGGTCTCTGGTGTCCAGAGGACATTGTTCCAGAAGTCTTGTGGTTTGTTCAGATGTTACTTTGCAAACCTCATCGTGCTGCCATGATCATTTTAGAGGTAAGAGGTTTTGTCCTGCAACCCTTCCTAAAGAAGTCACACTTACTCAGTCTTTTTCTAATCTGAATGTCATGAACTGAGGCCTTTAGAGTCTGAGATGTAGCTCTTGGATTACTTTCAGTCCTTCTGAGCCTGACTTGAGCGTGAGTTTGCTGGGACATCCATTCCTGAGAGATTGCGGCATTGTGTTAACACACATCTGGATATTCAGATGTGTGTTAACACAACACCTGTAACATCCAGACCAACAAACTACCAAAATGTCCGCCTTTGTAATGATCTTCAGACTTGCTGAGGATCAGCGAATCAAGTGATTAACAGTGAGTAGCAGCATCTGGCTGCAACTGACGACCTTACTTCCTATTGAAGAAGTAATTGTGTATTTAATTTTTTTAGGGCTGTAGAGAGTCCCATAAAAACATGTTTACCTTAGAAATGTACTGACGTACAAGTTTAAAGTAGACTAAAAGAGTAATTGCAAATGCTTGAGCTAAGGTACTTGTTAATATGCAACAACTCTTAAATCAGGGGACTTTTTATTTGTAATCATCACTGAATGAAATGTCAGGACTGTGACTTTTAAAGACATAATAACATCATGGACCAATGAATTAATAATAAATATACTTGTTGTAGTACTGCTAATGTCACACATTTATGCAGCTGAATTTCACGAACAGAAGCCTAAAATATGTGTGCACCGTGCACACAGACACACACACACATGCACACACAAAGCACATCTAAATGTACAGTAGCTGCAGGCAGTGCAAAAATTAAAATCCTGTTTATATTGCTCACAGTCTTTGGCCTGTTTGGGCGCATTAAACTCTCAGGAAGTCGCATGCTTGATATACAGCAAGTATAAAAACATAAACCTTTATAACTCCTCAGGGTCAGGAGTGAAAACACGGAAGAATCCATGTGTGTGTGTAAATCCCCGGCCCAGACACAAAACAGGCTTTATTTAATCTCAGTGTTTGTGAACAACACACCATTCTCCTCCTAAAACTCTGAGCACCCCAAACAGTTCACATAAAACCACAGATATATTTTTAGTTTACATCCAGGTACATGAAGGTACATGCACTGTGCAAACAGCTGGGAAAACACAAATCCACACATACAAGTAACCACAATGACATCTTACCAGTGAGTCGATTATGAAGCTGCATCCTACTATTTCCATACTGTCCACAATGTTGCTGATGGGTTTACACTGGGCCACCTCTGTAGTTAGCTGTAGGATAAAAACACACATGCTGGCTGATCTCTCTTCAGAATCCACATTTATTCATTAACTTCAAGTTAAATCAGCAGTTCTTAAACCATACTAAAACTTAAACACTAAAACTAAATTAAACACTGACTCAGATAATCAGAAGAGGCAGAGGAAGGATTTACTATACTGCAAATTTTGTACAAAGACACTGAAGAAAACAACAGAGAAAATGGCAGAGTACTCACAGAGTTTTTAACCCATTCTGTGTACTGTTTGAAGTATCCCACCAAGCCCTGCACATACGCCTTTGTTTCCTACAACCAAAAAAATGAAAAACACTCATGAGTACTCACTATGATCACGATTGAGATTTCAAGCTCTGGAGTTCATTTCCCTGTTGGATCAAGATTAGCTCTTTATAAGATAAGATAAGATAACCTTTATTAGTCCCACACGTGGGAAATTTGTTTGTTTATACACTTTTCTTTAAAATGTAACCTGATTTGAGCACTACGATAATGACGTTCTTGGCCAGTGAATCAAGTTTGGATTGCAAACACAAAAAATATTTATAATAATGTAATCAGTCTGCTTACAATGGGACTCTAATAAGCCACAGAAAAACAAGTCGTCTTTATTCTAAGGCAACACATTTGCTACCAGAGAACAAAATCACAACACCAGTCGCCTCAGAGCCCTTACGATTATAAAGCAAAGACCCTACAATAATAGAGGGAATATTGCAACAATCATACAACCCCTCTATGAGCAAGCATTTGGCAACAGTGGGAAGTAAAAACTCCCTTTTAACAGGAAGAAATCTCCAGCAGAATCAGAGAGGGGGATGAGGGGAAAGAAAAGAGAGAAAAAGGAGACCATAAGGACACAAAGACAAAACGCACACTTTGGGACAATTTAATGATCTGAGTGTTGGTGTAAAAACCCCTGAGAGAAAACAGGAGTGGAGCACAAATGCCCAGTGCATCATGGGAAGTTTGCAGCCTGTTGTGGCATGATTAAAGAGCTTTTTGCTGTGTGTTCAACATTTATCTTTTGATGCTCCATGTCACCATGTTATGTTGAAGCCTTGATTGATGTACCTGCTTCACCACATGGGAGGCATTATGAGCGATGAGGTACTCTGCTGCATCAATGGCACTCAGGACATTTGTGACTTTGACCTCAGAGAGAAATAAAAGCAAAAGAAATTAGTTCACGAAACGTGGATAGGTTGCTAAGGAAATAATTGTTTACACTGCTATCTGTGGTCTATAACAATAGTTTTCGTATTTACTGGCAGGTCGTTGGATGTCTTCTGTAGCTGTTTGACACTCTGGTGCAGCGTACTCTGTGTGAGAAGATTAAAGCACAAGCAGTCACACGGTGAAACAGACACACACACAACTCCCTCCTTATTTACAGATACACATCCATCACATCACGCCACCGCTGTCACAACATGAAGGACGTTGCTAAGACAACACACACAAAAAAAGAAAATAAATCACTGTCACAGTGCTGCACATCGACAGCAGCTTACCCGTGCTCTGACATATTTCTGTCACCACATTATGAAAGAAAAGAACAAAAAAGAAGGAACACTGAGGAACAGAGCAAAAAACAGACCATGTAGATGTGTTTTGTCCCTGAAGACATTCTCTGTTCATTAAGATTATGTAATTACCACTATTTCCCTATTAAATAATGGTAAAAAAAAGAAAAAAGCTTAGGTGTAATGCTACACGTTTGCCTCATTCAGTATGTGCAGATGTGCAAATCCTCCCTGGGCCACTTGCCACCAGCTTTCCTGTGCTAGGCCAACTCAAAGGTTCTCCTTCTATGTGGGGTGAGACGCTGCTGAAATACGTGCTGTTGTTTTTTACATGAGAGTCACTGCTTCATACTAACTCAAATACTATTATCCTCACCTCCTCAACCCTGTAGGTATCTGTTTTAGTAACAGAAACAGCATTTGGCTCAACCACTGACAGTTTGTTTCATTAATGGGGTCAAAATGATTTTCATTTTACCCAAAAATGGGTAAAAAATTAAAGTTTTTTGTTGTGACGCCTGAAATAAAAAAGCCTCAATTCAAAATCCTCTGTTCATCTAGGACACTGCTAAAGAAAAATAAACAGGTGATCTTCATCGTCTTGGTAGCTGAATATATAAAATAAGACCTCTACCTATCTGCTTATCCAAGCTACGAGAAATAAGTGTTGAACTGTTAATAGTGCTGTTTGTATTTGTGCTGTGGTTAGTTGATTACCATTGCTTGCTCCAGTGGCACCACCTGTTCTCGGTGAATGAATCTAATGCTGCTGGCATGGCCTCTCAGTGCGTTCTCCAGAGCACCACGTGGCTGTAAACAAACACAGCTTTAAGGATACAATATGTGATTACAGATGTATATTGTTTAGGTTCCCATGAAAATGTAGAATAGATTTTGAGTCTTTAACGTAACTGAAAACAAATATTTTGTCATTGTTTTATTATAAGTTTCACTACAAGGGCACATGCAAACATCTCCCTGTGTAACAAGCTCCAGAACCCGAACACGTGGCATAAATGTGTGCAACGTGAACATGAACCCTAAGTTCCTTCAACATGGGTGTCTGACTATATGTTTAGAATTGCCGGTCTAACACGTATATATGACATTCCTGCTGTCAAGTATTAAGTCAAGTACTGCCAGAGATGTGCCATCCTTCATGAAGATGAAATTAAAAAATCCACTTCTAATCAGATCATTTAGTCAGATGTGAAGATTCACTTTAGGTCTGTGGTGAGAACCTGACTAATTCAGCAGCTCAAGTGTTCATAATTTTAACCAACTGTGACATCGTGGCTAATAGTTTTTCACCTGTTTTGCATCCACAAGAGAGCAATAGTGGGACTGCCACTGCTCTACAAAAGGCTGTAACCGTGCATGCATACAATATGTTGATGCTGATCTACAACACATGTGCAGACATTAATGACTCACCAGCTGGTCAGCCTGACCCTCCAGGTCGCTACAGAAGGACAGCAGATCTATTAGAGTGACTCCTTTATTTACCTAAAAACCAGGAATTTACACATGAAAGATGGTTAGTATAAAAGGTTTTAGTTAAGGTTTGTTTGGGGGTGGGGGTATTTTTATTAGGGATAGCTTTTAAAGTTGCATAATCACTGTTTCAAATTAAATGCATTTTATTTATGCATATTAACAAAACTGGAAGATGTTATGATTGCATTCAAAATATTTTACATTAAACAAGAAAAATAAAATTAGCAGAATAATGGAAATAATTTTTACTGAGTGTATGCGCATGTAAGCGGAGTGAAGGGCTTTTTGTGCACAGGATATAAAGGAAGTAAACAGTGTGCATCGTGCCATTCAACATAAACACAACCACAGATGCACACAGCTCACCTCAGTGAGATAAACCTGAAAGTCAATCTGTCCAATTCCAGAGTTGGCAAAGTTGATGAGGTTGTCTCTGCCAACCTGCTCCAGCAGCGTGATGCCCTGCAGGTCCACCTGCACACTATCAAACACTTTGGCCAGGTCCCTGTTGTACTGTTGTGAAACACACGTGTAGAGTCAAACTACCATTCACCTTCTGCCATCAATGCACCTGTAATGGTGACATACAGTAACATAGCTCTTACCACTGTTCTGTTGAGGAAGGAGTTAATGTTGAACATGGTCTCCAACTGCAGAGCGTGATACAGACCGTTGTTGTCATAGCACTCCCTGTGAGACAAAACCATGATCATCACAAACACAGTGCCGTGATGTTTTCTGCTTAACTACAGGTAACGAGTTTCTTACAAAAACAACTAGAAAAATGGATTCAGTACTTTTTCGTGATAACTTAAATGTTACCTGTACATGCCGCCTAGAGTTAAATCAATATTTGGATTCTGGAAAAGCATCCCAGGAAGGAAGTTCCTCTTTTCAGGATGGACCAGGAACGGCGTATCAATGATCTACAGACACACACACACACAGTTTAAGAAAGCAGTGTTGGCCATTTTACGGCTCAGATAAAAGGTGAAAATAATAAAATCTCCAGCAGAATAAAAATAAAAGACAAAAGAGAGTTAACACCTTAAACAGTTGTCTGTTAGCCAGAGGTTCACATATCAGCTTTCCCACATTGCCCCCGACAACAAACAGGGTGGTAACGATGACCATCAGCACCCAGGCAAAGATAAACGAGAAGCCAACACCACTGCAAGAGTAAAAAACAGACTCTGAGAGACAAAAATAATATTTTTGCTGTTATTTCCCACCATATATCACAAGAGATAATCCCGTAAGAGTCCACTTTTGATAAAACCAGTATTAATGTGAAGAAACTCTCTGAACTTGAGACCTTTCTATAATTATTTCATGCATTTACTGTTAAATTTAATCTTATTTGAAGAACACTATTGTGAGTCTTCATTTGTTGTAAAGTAAACCTGTACTCAGTGCTTATAATGCTTCCTTTGTTATATGACTGTAAGCTAAATGGATCACAGCCACTTTTACAGTTTGAACTCCACCCTGAAAAAAAGATCCCTGAGTGACGCCTTCAGGTGAGTGAGTGTTGTGATGGAAACCTACGCCATCAGCAGGTTTCCCCCAGTGTTCGACAGGCAGCCGCGGGTGGTCGGGCTAGCTTGCTTGTCGTAGCCACAGTTACCACACAGCAGGCCGAGGATGTTAAAGGCCATCACCAAGACGACCATGCAGAGCACCGCCACGCAGGCGATCCACCTGAAGGTTAGACAGAGAGGTTTACCCACTTTAACCTAATTCATTGTAACCTAGAGTGAGATTATTTCTCACAAGCTGTTCAACTAGTTTGGTTCTTTTTATTTATTTATTTTTTAAAAGCAGTGAGAAGGACCGTGTGTTATAACTAGAGCTGAACCTTAACAGCCTTGTTTCTATCTATGACGTTTTAACATCCTCACATTTTCTTAATAGATTTTTAAAGAGAAACACACAAACCTGTAAAAATCCATCTGATCGATTTGGGGGTAATAGGACTCAATAGCTTTGTGTCTTTCATTTAGGAAAATGGTGAAATTTGCCAGAGAAGCTTCCACAGGGAACATCTTGGAGAAGCCGGTGATCTCTGCACCGATCTTATCCAGCATCCCCTTTACTCCTACAAACACAATTGTAACGATAAATAAGTCAGACAGAAATAAACTGGAAGGCTGGGGGTTTGAAGGTGAAGTGAAAAAGGGATAATGTGTCTGACACAGAAGAGAAAAACTTACGAGGCAGAGCTGCAGTTTCATCATCCACAAGTATGCAGACAGAGATGAAAGAAGAACATGAAACACTTTAAATAAAGTTTATAAAAAAAAAGCTCTAGCTCACACACACACACACACACACACACACACACACACACACACACACACACACACACACACACACACACACACACACACACACACACACACACACACACCTGCAACAATGTTTTTTGTTTGCTCTTTAACCAGTCTTGGCGTGTCGTTAAAGGATGCGTAACCCTGTAGATGAACAGAATAAGAGAAAAGAAAGATGACAGGTGAGACAAAAAGTTTTAGCATGGACAAGATGATGATGCTGAGTGAGAGACGGCCACTAACCTTTTGTACAATGTTGCTGAGATCTGTTTTCAGGACAGTATTGACATTGGCCAAGGCATGATTAACATCTGGGATCTGACAGACAGGAAAAAGAAGCAGAGTAAACCTGGAGATATTTCTCACGGTTAAAATGTTCCAGTATTAGATGGCATATTGCTTCTTATCACCTTGGAGAAGTCAGCATTGATTCCCAGCTGGGACAGTGTGGAGCGGATGGTGTTACAGGTATGTGACACAGCTCCGTTCGTGCAGGCGGGGTCGGACAGGGTGTTGGACAGAGAGGCGCGCTCTCCTGACAGGCTGGCCTGAAGCTTCCCCACCCCATCCTGCAGCACCTCCAAGGACGAGCTGATGTTCTCCAGGGCCTCTTTGGTCTCCCGCATAGCTACAAACAACAAGCAATATGACACACAGTGAAACTACTTTTTCTTGAGACAACAGCATGCTGGGCTTTTTTACACTGACCACAGAGGCACAACCCACAGAGGAAAACTATAACAAAAAACAGTTTCCAACTTAACACAAAGGTTCAGAATCACCATCTGCTTCTAACACTTTTGCAGACACAGCTACGAACACTGCACCACTGAGTCCCACTCAGCTCACTTTACCTTTGATGGCACTCTCAACTTTTGCTTTAGACAAAAGAAAATGTGAGAGAATCATAGAGGGGAAAAAGAAAGAAAAAGAAATGAAAATTAAATGGTGAGTACTTTTCCTTAAAGACTGTCTTTAGTATTAAACCCACAAGAGAAGTTGTGGCATTTAAATGGCAGTCATTAGCTGTAATCGTAGCAACTACTTAAAAAACTCCTGATTTTATTAGAAACTTAAATTTGCTACAAAATTTAAAATTTTATGTGTATTACAGTACATCTTTTAAAAAGAACAACTGAGTTTTGTTTAAGAACTTGCACACTGGTTTGTGAGTCCGAGTTGTGTAATCTCAGAGACGTTACCTCCTGCCATACGCAGGGCGGTGTCCAGCGAAGGAATCACTGATTTCTCCAGCTGAATGTGGATCCTACCCCCCAGCAAAGGGCCAATGTCTGTGAGGAAGCACAGAAAGGTCAGAAAGTTCAGCACAGTTATGTAAAGTGAGAGATATCAGACAAACACTGTGTGCAAACATGCAGGGTCGAGCTTACTGTCGAGGTCTGACAGGACTTTGTTCTTGGCTGTGGTGTACTGGGCTGTCAGGTAATCGACTTGCTGCAGCAGGAGACACACAGTATTAATAGATATTAGTTATATTATATTATTGGCTTTTGTTTTTTCAAAAATAAACGGGTTATTGTGAGGACATACTGCAGGCGTGTTGTTAGCGAACGTCTTCAGGTCTCTCATGTTGGTGTTAATGAGCCGCCGAGTGCTTTTGACCTGTGAGCTGATGTTGTGGTTTGCGGCGAGAGCAATGAGAACACCCACACTGAAAAACACATGCAGGATCGATTAGGAGAAGAGCAGTGCAGTGACCACACTTTAACAGCAGAGAGCAGCACAGCTACATAATGGGGACTCCTGCATTATGAGTTTTAATTCTTGCTCACTGAAGATTCAACTCTGCCCTCCACAGTTAGTGATGTAAGAAAAACTGTACGGCTGAGTGTACAAGCTAAACATGCAAAGTGAAGCTAAGCATTAGGATTATGTGGTTAGAATTCACTGTGATTCACTGCAAAAACACCTTATTAGTTTTACAGTAGTGATATTTTAGACTTTCTGTAACAAACAAAAACAATGTAGAAACAGTAAAAAAACAAATCAACAAAAGCAACCAACTGGTTATATTGTGCTTTGGATGTGAGCATTCACATTTGTGCTGTGAAAGGACTCATTTAGATAGCGAGGCCTCTCATGGTCAGCCAAGTAATATCGGTAACACATAACTGTCCTCCACATTTAAATCAAATTTCAGTGGGCTTGCCTCTGCCACACAGCAGGTACTCCGCATGCTCTCTGCATATGAGCAAATAAAGTTATTGGACATTTTTTTTTACCCCACATAAAAGAAAGCATTTTTACATATGTGAAAAATTATACGTGTAAATATGTGGCGCCAACATTGACCTGCTGAGATCTGTTCATTATTACAAGGGTTGTTAACTTTTTGGTCAGACTGCTTTCAGGAGCATTTTTGTTCATATTTTAAGTCGTAACTAATTTTAACGAATAGTCTGGCATGACACCTGATAGTCTTTTAGCTTGTAGGTTGTAATCTATTTGAGAAAACAGATAACTTGTGTAAAGTTTTGGGTTCATATGCAGTGAAGAAGGCTATCCAAACCTACCTGGCACCATGTAATTTGACCCCTAAGCCTAATAACTGGTTGTGGCACCTTTGGCAGCAAGAGCTGCAATCAAGTGTTTGTGATAAATGGCAATGGGTCTTTCACATCACTGTGGAGGAATTTGGCCCACCCTTCTTTATTTAATTGTTTTGATTTGGTCACATCTGAGGGTTTTCAAGCATGAATGGCCTCTTATATGATTTTTGAGCCATTGAGAGGTGAGCTTGCTGGCAGGGATGGGAATCGAGAACCAGTTCTGTACAAGAACCGGTTCCCAGTAGTCAAATTCTTTGGAATTGTTAGTCTGTTTGCCTATCAATACCATTTACCGGTTTCTGCAGCAGTTCAATCAGCTAATTTCAGTTTGTGTGCCGGAGATGGAAGATAGTGGTACGGTCTACAGCCTGGATATAGGCATTACATGTAGTTTTACTACACAAAAGGACAAGAGCACGATGGTAAAGTGGAAACTGCATCCAGGTCAGAAAAAAAACGCATTATGCTGCCAACACAACTTCGGCTCCTTGCAAGCACCTGCACAGACAGCATGCTAATGCTAAGCTAGCCAAGAACCCAGAGTGATGCTATAAAGCTGACTGAATGCTGACCTCAGCCCAGCAACCAGACCCTGAACTTCAACAGATAACAAAAGCAGTAATGAGCAATCAGGCTTGTAGATGCAGTTTCCATCTGTTTATTGACTGACATATGTCAATGACTTTGTTTTTCAGCTGTTTTTGAGTTTCTTTAGATCGTGGTATGATGTGTTGCTTTTTCAGATTTTTTAGTCTACTTCACTTTGTCAGGCAGATTCTGTTTATTTCTATTTAACCTCTATTTAGGCAGGTAGTCCCCTTGAGACTCAATGTCTCATTTACAAAAGAGACCTGTTTCTGACAAACATATTAAAATTACAACAATAAAATTTAAATTGTCTAATGTTTACACAGTCGTATCAAAAACAGGTGCTTTAAACAAGTGTTTAAATGATTTCATGATTTCATGATTCAGCAGGTCTGGCAATAATCATAGCTGGAAATGACTAATGAAATTATACTCCAATGTGATTCATTGGAGTTAATTCATGATTTAGAAAAGGGGGCAATGATTTTTTTGCATAGGGCCAGGTAGGTTTGGATAGCCTTTTCCCTTAAAAATTGAAAGAATCATTTAAAATCTGCATTTTGTGTTTATTCTGGTTACTGTGATCATTTTTAATCATCAGAAATGTCTTTGATGATCTGAAGTGTGGATGTGTGACAAATATGCAAAAATAACAAATCACCGCAGAAGGTGAAATCTTACAGGTACTTCGCAATACAGAAATCAAAGTAGAGGAGAACCAGTGTCATTAAAATCATCCTCATTTTGGAGTATAGCAGACTGATAATGATAAAAACTGTGAAGAAGAGGAATGACGACTCACATGATGAAGATGGTTGTAGCAACCAGCGAGGCGGTATAGAAACCTCTGTGACAGTCTGCATTTTTCCTCTGTCTCTGATGCATCTCCCCTCCACAGTTATCACAGCATCGACACATGCAGAAGCACATAGCTATGACGGGGATAAGGACCACAAACACGACGCCGAAGGTTGCACATATGAGAAATCCGGACTCGTACTGGATCCACTGCGGGAGGAGAGCATTCACCCAGTTATCAATCTGCTCTCTGCCCTTTACTTTTGACAGAGATATGCAGTGAAAGCTGTGTTGAGAGGAGTTTACCTGCAGCAACAAGACGACGTTTTCTGGCTGGAGCACCAAACCAGATGTGGAGGTGTGCAGAAATCACACAAGCATGAACAAAAAGAAGACATGCAAACCAGGTGAATGTGACAACAGAGGGATTTAAAAAAGGAGAATCCTCATTTCTAAATGAATAAAGTTTTTCATGATGTGACACAGTCACTTTGTGGTTCCTGCTGTGAAGTGATATTTTAATTTCATTAAAATTATCCAAACACATAAAACTAATAAACTTTAAAGTGAGACACAAAACATGTTTTTTTCATACACTGCTCAATTGTTTTGTGTAAGTATAAAATTAGATAGTGCTTCTTTTAAAGATTTAAATTAAATTTAAATTATACTTCACAGTGACGTGTCATCTACTAGTAATTTGTGAGCAGTGTGCCCCCAATACAATTGCAAAAACCTGCAAGTACACAATTTAGAAACCCAATGGTCTAACGTCCATTCAAAATATGTTACTGTATCAGAAGAGCATGTGGGGGTTCTGTGGAGGGTAATTGGGGTGGCTACAGCTCGGGAGGTAGAGAAGGTCATCTGTTAATTGGAAGGTTGGTGGTTGGATCCCAGGCTGCTCTTGTCTGCATACCTCAGCATCCTTGGGCAAGATACTGAACCCTGATCCATTCATCATGGGAAAGTTATAAAGCACTTCAGTGTAAAAAGCAAGTGCTTGTAAGAATGAGGCATGTTTTACAAAGTGCTCTCAGTATTCAAGTAGAATAGAAAAGCACTATAAAAGAACCAGTTCATTACCATTTGCCAGTAATTTTAACACTTAACATACCTTTCTCCATTCCTCTATTTTGATTCCACCCATGTTTTGCTGAATGACTTTGACAATGAGATCTGCAAAAAAAAAAAAAGAACACACACATACAGACGAGTGCTTACATACAGAAAAGCTGCCGCACAGAGTAGATGCTGTGTTTCAGTGATTTACAGGCAGGTACGTGATGACAAGCAAAGTTGGAGAGGGTAAAAAAGAATCCATTTATGTGCTCACAAGCAGACAACGCGGATTACGTGGGATCGTTTTTTAATTTCCGAGGAGAGGACGGCACTGAGACCGTGTTTCAGTGTTTTAACGGGAGCTGTTTGAATTGTGTAGTTTGTCACCAGTGACTTCAGTTCAGTCCAGCTGTCTGTGTTTACTGTATATAGGTCAGCCAGCGCTAAGCCTACCTGCAGTGTGACTCACAGCAGTGTTACTCAGCATGTAAAAGATGATTACGATATGCTTCTATGGACACAAGCTCACACATACATATTACATGTATGCCTATTTGACAGCATTAAAAGCAGGATATCTGTGCCACGTATAGATACAATCACATCCAAGCGTTCCAACACACTCACATCAAAATACTGTATTTGACAACTCAGCAGAGGTTATTTGAAGTTGTACAATTAAATGACTTTACAGCGTTTGTTTGCCAGATTTCTCACATTAAATCAGTAGTTCACAATTTCTTTTTTCGGGTCTCACTTCAAAAAGATACAAATGTCGTTTACACACATTATTTAACTCAAACACTCAAACGGCTTTATTAAAGTTTTGCATTTTTCTTATTAGTTTTTATTTCTGTTTAAAGTTTTTGTTTCCAGACAGTCTCCGGAGTGGGTTTAGTTTGTATTCTTTTCAGTGTAGGGTTTAGTCTTATTCTAATATGACAGGTGATTGTCATGGGCAACCTATTAGACATACAGAGTACAATAGAAAACAAAACAACACTTTATGAAAGCAGCTGACTCTCAGTCGTCTAGAGATCTCAAATCTCGGTAGACATTTGCATCTGGGCCTTGTTCGGCATGTGCTGATACATATCAATCACATAGTAGCTCATGATCCAGTACAACTCCCAGGCAACCCTAATGTGAAGTACAGAAGGGAAGTTATGTTTTTCAAGTATTGCACAAACTAATGAGAATTAAAATCTACTGAGAAGTGAAGGAGTCCTGTAAACAGTCATATCTTGTTTCACTAAAATCTGACCAGTACTCTAGGAGGAGGAGTGGTTCTTGTGAAAATGGTGAAAAGCTCCTAGGAAACAACAAAAATACGATCTTGAGCATAATTTGGGTGAAGACTCATTAAGTGATTAAAAACAATCGGACTAAAAATCAGTCATTGTGCCGGGTGGGCTGAAACCAAAAGTGAGAGCATTTCCACTACTTTTACTTTGTTGTTAGTGCACAACACTGTTTGCTATTTTTACCAGAAAAATCAAGTTTTTATTTTAGTTAACAAAAAGCATTTTTTAAAGAAAACTATAATAAGGTCAACATAATGTTGGCAAAGTTGTTTATTTTCCCAAAAAGAAAAATATCCAACCTTTTCCCTTTTTTTCTGTCTTTTAACTTAATATTATCTCACAGCAGAGCTTCTCAGATTAGTACCGTGTCATGTGCCACTGCACACAACAAGCAGATGGAGACCAGTTTAGCAAATAGATGTCCCTCACACGCACGCACGCACGCATCACGCACGCGCACGCACACGCCGCGCGACACACGCACGCACGCATGCACGCACGCACGCGCGCGCACACACACACACACACACACACACACACACACACAGATTCTGGTTCAAGCTTCTGCTTGCACACCTGCTGATCATCAGGTGAGGTGATACAGTGCACTTCACAGTGTCTACATGGTTTTTAATCTTCTGTTTGTACCGAGCTTACCAAACATTTAATTTCTTTCTTTCCCATGGAAAGTGTGCAGTAATGTCTGTTTTCATAGCAGATTTAATTGATCACATGTCAGAAAATTACTTTTGTGAGTCTGAGGCGATTTCTTTAAATTACATGGAGAATTACACACACACACACAAAAAAGCAGCAAATCCATCCAAATCAGAGAATGTTTTACATTTCATGCTAGAAATTTTTGATAGAGTTAATTATGAATCAACAAATCAATTAGCTACCTTATCCTAGATCTTGTATTGAGTACTATCAAAACAAAGGAACAGATCTTCCAGATTACTGAACAGAACATTTTGTTTTTTTGTGTTTAAATTAATTTTTTATGCATTTATTTTTGTTGACTAGCAACAAACTGTCTTTTTCTTCTTGCATTTTCAGACTTCCTGAACATTTCTGCTCAGTCAAACAAAAGTAACAGTGATGTGTGCTTTTCTTTTGTAACCACACAGATAATCCTCTCAGTACCAAATAGTGTGTTTCTGCTCGTGGTGGGAGGGGACTCGCATTTCTGTTTCTCTAATCTCTGTGAAAATGCTGCTAACACTGACCGGCCTGTCACAAAGTGTGAAGACATCTTTACTGGTTAACTCTGCAGATGCAGCATATGAGCACCTCACAGTAGGGTCAGTGCCACCTGCTGTTGCTCAGCTACTTAGTTAGCATTAGCCACTGAGGGCAGTTAAGCTTACACAGCTTAGTTCAGTGACCCAGTATAGGAGCTACCTACGGGAAATGAAAGGAAGAGAAGGGATAAACAAGCATCAGACTTATACCTAAAAGGATGAACAGACCACTGCCCAACATGATCTCATACAACCTCAGTAGTCCCCGAGCAAAACAACTCTTTTTTTTTTTTAAATGAGCAAATATAAATAGAAAAATTACCATTTTCTTGCTTTTAGTGTCTTTAGAGAGAAGCTTTTGATTGGTTTTAGTGTAGTTAGTGAATATTTTGTTTTTAATTGAAATTTTAATATTTCAATAAATCCCAGCCTGGCCTGAGTGTTTTTCTTACACTATAAAGGCAGTTGTTCATCAGAACTGCAAGAAAGACACAGGTAAGATCAGAAATAAATTATAATAAAAATAAAAATCTAAAAATAAACCCTCTAGTTAGCTAATCTGATCTACAAATCAGAATTTACAACCATCTTACTGTAATCTGTAAATGTAGGTAAACACAATCCTCTACACTGACCTGCTCTGAGAGATTACTGGAAGATGTGGGCAAAACCTTATGCAACCCAACCACCACCTCTGATGCTTTTAGGAGACATTTGCATGCATGAATCATACACTTAACGACTATATTAGTCAGTTTCTATTCATAACTGTTTGCCTTTGTGTTGCAGTTAACAAAATATTAGACTCACGTTCACCATTATGTATGAAAGTTTTTTATTTCTGATCAGAGGGTTTTTAAATTTAGCCATCTAAAGCAATCCAAGCTCGTCAAGCGCTTGTTAGTATTATATACTTTTGCTTTGGTGAATAAGACGACTATAGTGGAAATCTGCAATAAGAAATGTAATCAGTCCCAACCATGTTTTCTTGTCTTTTCCCCCAAGATTTATTATCCGACTCCTTCATCCTGACCAACCCCCACTTTAGGAACAGCTGCTTCCAATATTAGCAGCTACCAAGAGCTAACATATAGACAGACGCTGACTTGATTCAATTTCTTTTCCTTTTGAGTCCCTGAAATTCAAAAGCGCTCATTTACTGCATATAAGTGCATCGGTGCCTGGGTTGCAATGGAAAAGGTGTTGCTATCGTGATATAAGATCGTCCAAAAACAGAGAACTTTTGTTACTTTCAATAAATGATGGGTTTATGGGTTTTAATGAGTGTTACACAATCCATTAAGCGCTGTACTTCATGTCAGCATGAGACACTAAAGGAAGTCAGAGCCAACTGTTTGCTACAGCAAAACTACTAAGAGGATTATGTGCCATGTCTTTTTATGCTTTTGTACAACACACTCAGACCTGTTTCAGATTCACATTTGAAGAGATGAGAAATGAAGACAAAGAATTTGAATTTAAAATGTATTACTCAACATTTCCTTGATGAATTCAATTATCAAGTGAAATTATAAATAAAAGCTGGTTTCCTCCCACAGATCAAAGACTTGCATTGGTGATTATAAACTGGCCATAGGTGTGAATCATCACATTAATGGTTGTCAGTCTCTGTGTGTATGCCAGCCCTTCAAAAGGCTTGTTCTAAAGGTTGCTTCTTGTGTTACAGAATTAGATGAGAAGTCAAGAAAATGGATGGCCTTAAAAGAAAAGTTAAAAACAAAGCTAATTTATTTAAATAGCTGTCGATATCCAGCTGCCCAAACATTCAAAGATAAGAACATCAGCTAATATTCACAAACACGGTGCTTGGAAATAATTATTTTTGTTAATATACATAAGAGGCGTACAAAAACTGCAGAAAATGTGTCTACAGTCTCAGATGCTAAAATGCAGGATTTTAAATAATTTCATTCTCCAAAATGTGCGAGTTCCTCTTCAGAGTGATCTAATTTAAGACGCTTGGTAAACATTCCCACAACCAATCACAGTAATTAAGGCAAGCAGACAAACACCAGGACTATGACCCACTTTCGGTATTTGTGTGTGCACACGCCTGTGCATGTATTTACCCAAAGTTGTGAGTGTGTGTGTGACAATGCCATCTGCAGCAGTGGTAGCAGGACAGTGTTAGCATTAGCCTGTGGATGCTAATCCTCTAATCCAGCCTGTGTGTATCAGAGGGATAAGACGCTGCCTCCATACTCAGTAAAAGAGCCCAAAATGCTTCTTCACTGTTAGTGGAAAAAGGGATGAGTGAGTCCCAGAGGAAACCCAGTGTCAGGAAATGCTGATACCCCGCTGAACCTAAGCACACATGTTTTATTCTCTGCTAACACTCATATGCAAACAGTTCTGCTGGAATCGCCAAAAATAAATGAAATTTACAAAGTGAGGGGATTTATGGGGATTTGGACACAGTCTGATAACTGTGCCACATTACACTGATTAACTCTTTACTGATTAATTTTCAATGTTCTGACAGACCTGACAAATCTCATCTTTAACACTGCAGCCGAACACAAACCTGCCACCTCTGCAACAACTAACGATGACTGCATCTAAGCTGAGCACATAAGCATGCACTGCAGCACAACAGAAAACATGGACACATAGAGTTTAGTGCAGGACTCCATGGAACAATGTAAACTTACTCAAAAAGTTGTCAACTGCTCTGAACGGAGGCGAAGAACAAGCAGGCAGCAGGAGGAAGTGAATCAGTGAATCAGATTGCCAATAAATCAAATTAATTCAGCTGTCTCACTCAGTGAACAGACTGATTACCCCGCACAGTTGAAAAATACTTTCAGCATTTTAAGAGTTTTTTTTTCTCTTTTTAGTTGTTATACAATTAGTTATACAATGTTTACCACACCTCTTACTCTTTGAATTCAGATTTTTCAGTCCCATTGCTGTATCACGATGCATTCATAACCAGACTGATTCCCACCCCTTGCTTTCCTGGCAATTCTCACTTTGGAAAAATATAGGGAAATACTTGCCAGTATTTTATTTTAAAAAATAAAACGTATAAGCTTTACAGATAGTAATACTAATAATTCACTTTTTCAAATAACTTCACCCTCAGATCACATGTGGAAAGACCACAAAACACTACACAACTGTATTACTTCAACTGTAACGTCATGACACATCCAAGTATGTGAAAAACACGTTTCTCAGATGAACATAAATTTTTATGTTTATTAGGACTTTATTTTGTTTAAGACAAACTTTTTCAGCCTCTCGGCACATTATTTTTATTACTTCCTTCTATTAGTACATGAAAAAAAATTATACAAAAGGCTAATGAAATTAGCCTGGTTCATAACTTATGTTAAAAGCAATTTATCTGAATGTAGGGATCGCTAATACCAAAAATTAGACTACCCTCATGTAACCCTGTGGGTTACATGGGAATAAAGCTATCAGTATCTCTCAAGTCCATAGAAATGTAAAAAAAAAAAAAAGAAAAATCAATGTATCTTAAAGTTCTTTTATGTTTTGTCTCTCTTTTGATTTGTAAAAACTAATATCATTCAAATTTCAGTGAAGGAAGATGGAAGGGATTCTGGAATTCAAGCAACACTACTGGATTATTTATTTATAATATTACAATTAATATAACCATATTATAATTTTTTCACATTTTTAGGTTTAAATATCAAGGTTATCTGCATATCATGACATCAGTTAATATGTTTTTTTTTAAGGATAAAGGAATATTCGTTAATTATCGTTTCTTATGAGAAAATATTTCGTGGAGGCTTAAAAATATGTATTTTATTGAACCTTCTCTTGATTTAGGGATTATGGCAGCTTTGCAACCACCTGAAACAAACACATGCACCACTGGTCACTACCTCAGAGGATCAGGATGTGTAAAGCATTTACAGTGGGTAAAATTATTGAACACATTGGTAAATTTCTAAGTAAATATATTTCTAAAGGTGATATTGACATGAAATGATCACTTAATGTCGGTAACAACCCATCCAATCCACACATGCAAGGAAATCAAGCTATAGATGTCTATAAATTAAGTTACATGTAATAATGAGAAACGACACAGGAAAAAGTGTTTAATGAAATGTATTTAATACTTCGTACTAAACCCTTTGTTGGTGATCACAGCTTCACGATGTATGGAGAAACTAGCCGCATGCACTGCTCGGGTGTGATTCTAGCCAGTTCTTCCCTACAGCCAGTCCTCAAATCCTGGAGGTTTCGTGAACCCATTCTATGAACTCTGAGTTTTATTTGTTTCTGTAGATTGGCTGGGTCATTCTAGTAGCTTTGTTTTCTTCCTCTGAAACCAGCTGAGAGTTTCATGGCTGTGTTTGTGATCATTGCTTCCTGAAATGTCTTTCAAATGTCCTGAAATGTCATTTCCTGGTAGACGGAAGCAGATTTTTATCAAGAATGTCTCATCACATTTTTCCATTCATCCTTCTTTCAATTAGACGAAGTGTGCTAGTGCCATAGGCTGGAAAACGGCCATACACTGTGATACTCCCACCTCCAAACGTCACTGTTGGTATGGTGTTTCTGGGGTGATATGCACTGCCTTTTGACCTCTGAACATTGTGTATTATGGCCTCCAGTGATATCAATCGTAGTCTAATCTGACCAGACTATTTTCTCCCAGTATTTTACAGGCTTGTCTAAATGTTGTTCTGCATACATGCTTCAGCATGCCTTTTCTTTGCGAATGGAGTATTGCAAGGTGATTGTGCATACAGTCAAGTGCATTACTTATTGCTTTCCTTGAAACAATTGTACCTGCTGATTCCAGGTCTTTTTGTAGCTCTCCACAAGTGGTCCTTGGCTCATAGACAACTCTTCTGATATTTGTTTTCACTCTTCTGTCCCAAATCTTGCAGGGAGTAGCTGGTCATGGCAATTTCATAGTGAAATTATGTTCTTTTCACTTCCTGATTAAGGCCCCAACAGTGCTCACGGAGAGAGCTCATTAGTTTTACCCATAATGACATATTTCTTGTATGATACCTTAGTAATGAGACAGCTTTTTATGGGCCTTCAGATAGGATTGAACCAGGTGGCCAATCAATATCATTTATGTAAGTACTGACAAATTTCAGCTGGTGTCATGACTTTCCATGTCTTTTTCTCTATCATTTCTCATTATTACACATAATTTATCTACATCTATGGTTTGATTTCATTGCATGTGTGGGCTGGATGGGTTGTTACAGACATCTTGTGAGAATTTCCTTTAGAAATATATTTACGTGTTCAATAATTTTTCCCCTACTGTAAGCTTGAAATTGGAAGCTTTAGAAGCAAATGAACAAAACATATATATGGCACCTTCTTCTGATTTAATGTTCATAACAGTTTTGCTTGACAGTGTTGCATTCACCACAAATGAACACATGCACCTGCCACTGTCTACCAGGCTCAGGTCGTGTAAAGCATTTATACATATACGTACAGGGAGATGATGTGGCATCCAGGTGGGCTACCGGTGTGTGTGTGATAGTGAGTCATACTGGAATGGAATAGCAGCATATGGTGCAGCGGATTAAGGTATTATGCTGTGATGCAGGTGACTGGGAAAGCTTCCCTTAATCGCAGATCTGCTAATTGATTAGCCAGCCAGCGGCCCTAACCCTGGACACCAAAATGGCAGCAACTTAAAACCTTCAATCCAATTGCTGTGTGTCATCCACCAACGTGACCACCCATAGTTGCACATACAACACATAAACAAACTGTTTTAATGGGATGTGATCACTGGATTACTGGCCTTCATCACAAGGACAACAGAGCAACATACATTGTTTTTATTGATCCTGTGATCACCTATGAATCACCTGGAGCATGGGCTTGCAGGAGATCATTCATGACTTATGACAGCTATGGATCCCTTTAAGCTGCTCAACAATCGCATATCATCACAGCATACCACCCCCTTTGTGCTCTTTGAGTTTGAGGGATTTTAATTTTTTTTTTTTTGGGGGGGGGGGGGGGGGTGGCAGCAGTGTTAAAATTAGATAACGATGACATGGCACAGGTTTACCTCTGGGTTTAGGGTTACAGACACAGCAGCACAGCACAAATAACTCGCGCCACAGCAGCCTTGTTGAGGTTATTACTGTTTATTTGGACTTTGCCATTTGGTTTATGACGTACAACCGTCCAGTCAGGTCCCCGACCTCTAAGCCAAGTGAGTGATTTGTGAGCTGCCTGACGTTCAATGCCTTAAAACAAATCATGGCATCAACATGGGCAGTGAGTCTAAATCAAAGTCTAAAATAAATGTCTTTGGTTAATCAGGATATATATATTTTTAGATTCTCACATTAATTATAGCTTGTGTGGACCCAGACCTTTAAATGGAAAAACAATGGTCCACTTTTTTTCTTTTTTACTTACTTGCTTTAATATTGAAATGCATATCAATATTTTTCTTTCATGTAAAAATATGTTTAATGTAGCTGTATCTATTTATAATTAGTTTTTTTAAACGTGGTTGAATTTACCCAATCAGAAAACATTTTTTTTTTATTTTCAAATGGATAAAAATATGAGAAAATGGTAAAATGGTAAATGGCCTGTATTTATATAGCGCTTTACTAGTCCCTAAGGACCCCAAAGCGCTTTACATATCCAGTCATCCACCCATTCACACACACATTCACACACTGGTGATGGCAAGAAAAATCCACAGACATCTATTAAGTAAGGTTATGCAAACTAATTAGCTTATTCATATGCAGACTAATAGAGTTTCATCCCTGAAAGCCTGCTTTAAGCCAAGAGAAACCCTGCATACACACATTCTCAATTGTACACTTTTCCACCACAATTGCACACAATAAAGTATCTCTGTCTCATGTCCTGTGATTGTGACGTGCCTTTAAAAATCCTGTGATTACACTGACAAGTAATGCACTTCTTACTTAAATGGACTGTGCACTTGTATTTCATACATAGACAGATATGCATAAACATATGTATACTGAGCATCTGTACAGCAGCATCTGGATGACAAGTAAGGTTGAGTCAAGTTTGTGGTCATAACGAGTTCTGCTGCTGTAAATAACAGATTATAAACCGGGTGCTAAAAATACTTGCTGAACTTTCTCCTCAGGTAGCCTAATTAAATGTGATTGGTCGCACCTGTTCGAGCCGCACTAACGTTGACGTTGAACTAGTGGTGGTGCACCGTAAAGACAACGTCCTGGGAATAGGAAACACGGGTGGGGAGGTGTCGGTAATCTCACCTTTGGGAAAGGGGTTCGGCTGAATGATGTAGAGAAACGCGTGGACCATATGGAAGAGGATCCCCATGCTCCCTGGCTCGTAATAAGCGTGGGTGTCGTAAACCGCCGCGGGTACAAACCCAAAATCCAGCGGCTCCACCGGCGGAGGTGAGCGCTCTCTGCGGGAGTCCGACCGGACCTCAGCCGGTACCGCGCCCCTCTCATCCGCCTGCTGCTCGCTGCCTGTGGCCCCCCAGCAGAGCAGCAGCACGAGCCAGCGTGTCCACAGCATGGCTCCCCAAGGTCCCACTCGGTTTCCAAAAAAAAAAAAAAAGTATGAGGGGGAAAGGAAACACAAAACTGGAGGGAGAAGGGGGGGGTGACACCTGTCCCTCCGGGTGGTGTTTTTTTTTATCCCCACACCGCAAAAACAACCGTCCTAAGGAAAAGTTTTAAAAACAACATCCAATGGTCGCAGGAGTAGCAGCCGTTAGCTACGGGTTTCCCGGTACGGAGTCATCACCGACATCTTCCCGGGGCTCCGGCGGCCGAAGACGAGCGCTCACACATTCTCACCGGCTTCGTCCTGCGAGCAGCCTAATCTCGCGTGCACGTAAAAGGCTCGAGCACGCTCGCGCGCGTTTGAAAGCTGGTCGGGAGCATCTGTGGCGCGCGACACCGCTCTGACCAGCCACCTGTCACCCTCTCTCTCTCTCATCCCCAGGTGTACTGTTCAAGCAGAGGTTCACAGAGGGTCAGCTGAGCAGGCCCGCTGACTTCACAACAGGAAACCAAAAGGTGGATTTAAGCAGGCTGTTTGTTTGTCCAGGACAGAGTCAATACGAGGTGTGGAGATTTTTGTTAACTAAAAATAACAAAATGAGTTTTTAAAAATGTTTTTTTAAAAAAATCATAAATCTTGCCTCTGCTATTCATACTAATGTCTTACTATTTGGCTTTGGTTTGTGTTCTTTTTCTCTCAGGAATTAAAATTAATTCTGCGTCCAACATCTGAGCCAATAACGCAACTGGTATAAATTTTGAGCTTTTTGACCCTGCAGTTGATCCAACAATCATCATTTTGAAGGGTTTGGTTCATGGGGAGATATTTTTGTTTATGAACGTGTCTCAAGCTTGATACATTTAGTCTGAGCCTGCTAAAGTAGCTTTGCATGACTCAGAAGTTCAGAATAATCTTGTTTTAAATACTGTTTGACTTGGCTACACCTTGGGCCTCTGTGAGTAAAAGTGAGTCTGGACACTTAGCAGTTGTCTGTTAGATAGTTCAGCAACGGGAACATCTGGCAAAAGATGCAAGGTTTGACTTGGCAAGAAAGTGTGGAAACAAAGCATTGAGTTTAACGGAAACAGTATAGTCTGGTTAAGCCTTTAAAAACCGCTTTGATGGCTTCATGAGTCAGTGCTCTCTTTCGTCCTCTCTCATCTCACATGCAGCTTTTATGTGGCACCGGATGGGTTAAATGTGAAAAACCTGAAATATGTCGACACAATCAGGGATGTCGTAGCCAGACCATTTGTGTGAGCTGGACCTTTGGCAAAAAGCCCCCACCCTACCCCTGTGTGTGATGACATACACCCCCTCTAAATGTCCATTCAAGGGGAACAGTGGGCTGCAGTGTTTGCCTGGTTAACAGGGAGGGCATCGACTCCTTTCACTAAAACGCATGCGCGCACACACAAAATCACACCAGAAACTTACAAAACAGTCTTGTTTTATTCTCCTTCTACCACGTAAGGAGATACATTACACGAATGAGCTGTACATGGAAGTGAAAAAAAAACAAACTCATACACTGTCCGTTTTTAGGTAGAGATCCATCCGCATGCTGAAAAATACCTCACATATCTCTCTCTCACTCTCTCTCACACACACACACACACACACACACACACACACACACACACACACTCACTAATGCTGCATTCACACTCCTCCTTCCAGCAGTATACAGCTATTTTTTTCCACTGTACGGACCATGACCCTATAGTGAGACTGGACTTGGCCCCTGGCTGTGCCCCTCATGGACCCTCACTGGTCTCAGTTAAGATAAAAAATCTTGTTCAACAGTTGGGTCTATAATTTGTAAAAGTATTGCATAAAAATGTCTCTAATTCCCAAACAGTTAATGGATCATTTTTGTAAATCCCCTTGAACTGAGGTTTGAAGTCTGCACTTCAGTCACATCTTCACTGTTTGATTTAAATCCACTCAAACTACAAAAACTGTGTCACTGTCAAGCAAATTAAGGACCGAACTGTGCCTGATCAGTTTTTAGTCCTGCGTTCCTCCTGCTCAGACCTTTTGGAGTCAAAGATGTAGCAAGCCCAAGTTGCAATTCTCTTTCCACGCAGCCAGAACCCATCCTTGTAATAACTCTTTACTTCCTTCCCCAGAAAAATCTTAATCCATCGTTTTGCATAAAAAGATATAAACTAGCTTCAACACAGAAAACCTGCACTTTGTTCATTGACAAGCTAGTTTTGGCCTGGATTATGAAGAAATCAGCATACAATGAAGCATTTCATGTGATTTTCACATCCACTCTCACTCAGATAGCGAGGAATGAGAAAACATGTCAGATCAGTTTCCAACATCAAAAAGCAAACAGAAGAAAATGTCATATGCCTGTGATGTGTCGCCACTATTATCTGTAGGCCACATGCTTCAATGAAAAAGGTACAAATTAAGCACATAAATAAGTCACACCTGTCAGGCCTGGTAGGCCATCTCAAAATAAATACAAATCTGCACCATCATCTCAGTGCTTTAAGGTAATACCAACACAAATGACATTAAGCCTTCCAACTTTTTATATCTCTTAAGTTACCAAACCAAACATTACAACTGAAGCTGATGCAGCCAAGCAAAGCCATTCTTAGTGTCACTGCTGCCATATTTAACCTGCTGGGACTGCAGCTCACCTCATCACCTCAGATCAACCTCTGTGTGTGTGTGTTAGAGCTTCTGTCTGCAGAATAACTTCATGATTTGAATCCTTCCATGTGATTGTGATTCAATTTAGAAAAAAGATTTGAAACCTGTCATAAAAACTTCATTTCAAATATCATCAGCCTTTTTTTTGGAATAATTAAAAAAAACTAGTAAAAACTTTTGTTCTTTCTAAAAACAGCTTCTTACTGATTGTGCTTCTGAACACACGTGATTTGACATACGCAGATTTCTCTCTGTAGTCTGCTCCTCCCGTGTTTTACATGCTGTCTTCATCAGCGAGTGCGTCACCGCCAGGCCTCTGACCCAGTGCCAGAGCCCGCTTGGCTCATCAGACACAGGCAGGACCAGCTGGAAACGTCTGATGCCGCCTCGGATGCTTGTAGTAACAGCTTTATGCCTTTGCTGGTTTTGTCAGTCAATAAATAAATAAATACTTGAGGGGTCAGGTGCACAAAAGTAAGTACGGTCTGAGCATGCTCCATGACCCATGTCTGATCCCTGAACCCTGTAGTGTTGCCAGGATTGCTACACTGGTCCTTCAGTCTATTCGGTTGCCACAGATGGTGAAGCGATCTATCTCCAGCAGGTCTTTCTTGGGTGGTCGGTGTGCAAGTCCGCCTCCTTCCAGTCCCGTGTCAGCGTTGATGATTTTGTCATCGTCCTCCTCGTCAGGAGTCGTCAGGAATGTGTCTGAGTCACTCTTCGGGAAGGAGGGGGCAGCGTTTTCTGCTGTGTTGGTGGGCTGACAGATGTCTGACGGCAGAGAAGTTTCTCCTTTGTCAGCTGTGGATTCTGTTATAAAGCAAGTTAAGAGTTTTTAGCAGCAGTTAAACTCAGGAAAAGACACAGTGAGACAGAATGACTGAGCTACCTTGCTGCGGTGAAACGTGAACATGTTTTGTCCGGTGAGCTCTAGAGTTTGCACGGCTGGAGGCGACAGAAGGCGGAGGGTTAAAGAGCTTTTCCTCCATATTGGCCTCTTTGACAAACACACAGGAAGTTCCCAGGAGAACGATACTGTTGAGAACCTTCAGAGTGATCATCCTGCTCACACAGACAGGCAAAAGTCACGTGAACATGAAAACAAACAGTGTCAAGAAAATAATCAAAAATGATGAAGACATGTTGGCCAATTACCCCAAGTAAAACAGCAGCACACACATAAACGAGAGCGACCCCTGGATCTTCACTGAGCTGGTCACCACTCTGATCAGCTGAAAAAAACATCGTCACATTTATAAGCAAGCAAACGTGGGAGCAAACATCTCAATATCAAAAGCCATCCTGTGAAAGAACGACTGACCAGCAGCGCTAAAGGAAGCGGGATGAAGCCCATTCTCCTGGATACTGAGTCACTGTAGTCTGTGTACGCCTGGAGACACAGTTAACACATTGTTATGTAAAACATCAACAAGCAGCACAGTTTTACTCATGGATAACTCAGTCCATTCTTTTAATGAAATCATAAGCTAAAAATCAGGAAAAACTGCTGGATGTGCTTTCAACACGTTCCTCATTCACTGTTTAAACGTTACTCACCGACTGATAGATCAGAATCAATAATTAGCAGATGTTATGATCAGAGGTGAATAGCAATAACAGAAAAGGATATATGCACAACACCGTCATCAGTGTATTATGCTGCAACTGAATCAAGGTGTATGAGGCAGGGCTACTGGCAATGGTGGATGCTGGCACGCGTGTCTGAGCTCTTCTGAGTGTGGTGGAAATGTGACCGGACAGAGGTACCAAGATGAGGCGCCCCAACCTGCACCGGTGCCATTCTTGCGGCAGCAACCCACCCTACAGCTGTTACCGGCGCACAGTGGCCAGTAGATCAGGAGCATGTCCTGACGCCAGTCAGGATTTAGTCCCAAAAGGTCTCCTACTGAGCATGCCGGGGACATGCTGTGTTGAAATTCATGAGAGGCAGCCGCAACAAGTAAGCAGTGCCCAGCTGCAGCCTGCACTCAGGAATGGAGAGACATCCCTCAACTTACTCAGGCACTGAATATGCAGTCCAGGCCATACCTTGTATTATAGTGAGGGTTTATGAAATCTATTCAAAATGCTAACCTGCCTTTTGTTTTTGGACTAGTATATATAATAAAAAAAGAGGAAATAAGATGATATGTAGTGTCATACAGAAGAAAATGTTGTCTTTCATTAGAGAAAACACGAACAGCACCTTGTCCTTTTATTTGTATTTTCCTAAATTACTGTGATTTGAGCCGCTTCACTCACATTTTTCTGTCGACTGCTGACCAGGTCAAAGGCGAGGCTGGCTCTGTATTCCCCGTATACCTGAGACAGAGGCAACATGTCAACCGATACAAGAGAAACATCAAAATATAAAACAAATAAGCTACTGAGTAGAGCGCCTGCCTTGTCGTGGTGACGTAACAAATGTTAACTTGTTTACTGCAAGTCTCATAATTGGTTTACCTGCTTGTTCTTTACTCTGGTGCATGAATGCGACGTGAAAGCACAGTAAAGGTAAATTCATGAAGCCGAAAAGAAGCAAAAATGTGTGCGTGCGGATTAAACGTGGATTAGTATGGACTCACAGGTACTTGAACACTTACAATGTGAGTGAGGTTTGTGTGATTAGGTTTGACAGTTTGGGGATAAAGGGGTTAATCCCTTCCTGTGGGGCTGCTTTCTGTTACATAAGCATAGTTACAACTCGTTGGAGGAAAATCAAAGAGAAAGACGACTCATGAGGGAAGGAAGTGAGAAATTGATAAGGAAAAAATGGGCCTGCTGACGGTTTCTCTTGCAGGTGGATGATTCTCTAACAGTATAACAACAGTGCTAAAGAGACCAACAAAGTGAAAATACACAGATTTGTAAATCATGAAATACTACAATATAACATATTTTATATGGGTCAAGTGACCAGAATCCTGTTATTGTTCTAGATCATCTTAATTTGAGGTCCATATGGTAAATACTAAATATGTTACCTATTATGTTTTGAAACACAAAACTAGATTTAACATGTATATAACCCTAAACATGACAGAAAAATATGCACCATCATTTCAGTTCCTTAAAGTAATTTCTATCACTGCTGTTAGTTTTGCTGTGAGATCACAACATTGTAAAATGGGTTACACTGTTTGAATGGTGAAGTTTGTTTCTTCAATTGAAAACAGTGGAAGCATTTTCACTTGGATCAGTGTGCATTAAACGGTTAAGCTCTTGCCATAGGACCATATATCAAATCTAAAATAGAGCAGATCAAACTTAGTTGCTGCTATGCATGTTAGCCTGTTAGTGTGGCATCATTACATTACTCACTGTAAGCAATTTTCCTGAAATTCTGCACATTACTCTCAAATTTGTTTTGTTGACCGCTTAGTTGACTTTCTTTTCTGATGCAACTATTGTCAAAGCACAGATTCTCTCTGATGTTAAGTAATATACAGGTTGTACTGACCATGGTGTCACAGGTCCAACCCCTTCATATCCCCAGTTACTGCCTGGAGAAACCTTGTGTCAGGTTAAACTGGCCATCTGCGAGGCTGTGTCTGTACTCCCCATATACTAAATCTAACCTCACAGGTATGACACGTTTTCCAAATGATCCCTGACGTCCTTTGAAGAGAAATGCCCATAACTGAGGAAAAAGAAGCTCTAAAACTTAATTATCATAGTCCACTGGTTTTTCTCTGTACACTGCAGCAGATGTTTAATGATGCCAAGAATATATAAATAAAACTGCAGCCCATTTCTAAGTTCAGCTGATACATGGTGACACTATACCTACATTTAGATGTGCTTATATGCGCAAAAGCACATCCAAATGTAGAAAGTAATAGATCTAAGACATAAATGAGAAAATATCCCATTAAAATGTTTTTTATACCTAGAATAGTGACACTCCCCACTAATCTTTTCCACACAAATATCTGAACTGTGTTGAAGCTGATAGACAACTGTCCACAATTTTAATTGTATTAATAATCTTTTAAGCTTATTTCCCATTTTATGGTGATTTATTCCAAGTTTTTCCACATCAGAGCTTGCTAAGACTGTCAGATGTTCATTCTAACTAACAGATTTATTTTATCTGATTTAAACTGTGTTTCTCATTGTACTGAATTGCTGTTGGGTGAACATGATAGAATAGTTCAATAGTTCTAACTAATGTGTTTCTCCTCTAGTTGCCAAACACTCAACTGCACTTTAACCAAGTTAATAAACCGTCAAACGTACAGAGAAAGGACTTACATCAGCACTGATGTCATTGAATTTGGTGATAAAGGCGTGCTTGACAACATCCACGGCAACCTCTGAGGCTATCACCATGACTACATCAGGAAACAGCACCCACAAGTGGTCTGACAACAAACACATTGAAATCTAATCAGTATAATTATTTAATCTAGTATTAGTAGTAAAAGAAAACAGTGAGCTACTTAGCAAGAGTGAAAAGACCCGATTATGAACCTAATCGGGGTACTATGATAAAGCACATCTGTATGCAGCTGTATAGCTTTCAGTACTCTTTGCAAAGCTTTGTATTAGGTTACCGGCATTCCATGAAAACTGCTCCATGTTTCTCAGACAGACGATGAGCAGGAGGATGTAGTTGGTGAACCTCTCTTTTATGTCTATGGGAAACAAACAAATCAATCCAGGATTAACCTACTTTGTGCTCACTGCAGTTGAGCTCGATTCCACATATTTACCTTGTATTAAATAATCATACTGAGAGGAGGAGGCACAAAGTATTCAAAAATTTTGATTTTTGTGGAACGTAGCCAGCTGTTTTACCACCACTTACCACTGTTTGACATCTGGAAAAGGTTGTTCTTTTCAAACTTCTTAAATACACTCCCTTTGATCTCAACAAACTGCAGAAAAAAGAAAAACCCAACATAAAAACATCAGGACTGAACTGGAGATGCCGCATGTTTTAAACGGGGTAATATGTCTGTGCATAAAACTCACATTGTTTGACATCATAATGGTGAGCAAGGACTTGTTGTGGGAGTTGAAAGCTACATTGAGAGTTGTGGCCTGAACCATGATGAGGATGGCATGAAGAACTGGATACATATTGAGGAAAAACACACATTTTCTGCACTGTAATAATACTGACGCAATGACTTTATGTGCCCTACTAGTCTGAAGTACAGCTGTTAGATTTGCTGCTGCTGATTACTTCAACTTTGATTGACTGTTTGGTTTATGAAAAAAGTTGAAGACTGGGAAGATTAAATAGCAGAGTGATGAATAACGCTTGTTTGGGATCACTGGGGGCATTTATTCTTCCAGGTCTTTCCTTTTGCCTCTAATGTGGCCTTTTTCTATCAGTTTCAAAATCTGAATTTAAGCTTTTAATTTCATTTGTTTTAAATACACTTCAGGAAAACATTTTGCTGAACAATAAAACTGATCAATGTTGCAAATCAACTTTAAACTGACTAACTTTTAACCGTTTTAATATCAGTGATGTTTTTGAGGATACAGACGTAGAGAACAGCCATGAGGAAGTGAGGAATCACGCCAATATGCGCTCTCTTCTTCTCCTTGGGTTCTGTGGCGGTCCAGTACAGAGCGTCCAGTATGTCTTGGCCAAATGATGAGAACAGGCGGTCCGCCACCTGACGACACAGGGAAGGGAAGGATGACGGGGGAGAGCTAGTCAATGGGTGGTGCAGTGTCATTAGATACTGAACTGGCCAATGAGGAAGATTACACAGTGTACCTCTAACATGTTGTAGATGATGTATAGTTTGATGACAGACTGTCCTCTGATGAGATGGTACATCATGGCGTAATCCACGTAGCTCATCATTGAGTAACACAGCACCATAATGAAGCCTTTGAGTACGTCGCACACCTGGGCTGGCTGAAGCAAGCGGGAGCCGCTAAATAACACACAAACGTCACAGACAAGGAAAATATTCACAAGAAAATCACCAGAGCAGAACAGCATAGTTGGCTGTTGCCTCAGGGCTCTGCTGCCCCCTGAAGGTCAATAATAACATTGCACTGCTTCAGACAAAGACCTTGCCCAGGGTGACAGAGCCCCCTTTAAAGTGGGACTTCAGAACATATTTATTCCTTGCACCTGTTTTTATATATATATATATATATATATATAATATTATTCTTTTTTTTTTTCCCCTCAATGAACCACAATTTGATTCTTTAAAGTTTCTAAAAAGAACTCTGGATTTGAGGAAAGCAGGGAAGCTCTAAATATGGGTCATGTTGCCTACGCTGTACATATCACAAGATATGCAGATTTTGGAAAAGGTGCTCACAACGCAACACAAAAAATTAAGTGACTGTAATCAAACTGATTAACAGTGTAATATTAGTACTGATCAACAAAGGACTAATAAGGGATGCACCTGCCTAATACATGCAGCGTATATCAGCCCAATCCTGACTCAGAAAGCCAGACTGGGTGTCGGTGACAATGAGCAGACGAATGGGCCCAATCTGTTCAGCATTCTTCTGTTTACTTTGTCACACATCAGCATCAGTGAACCAGCTCCTAATGCAAAAGCAATCATAACCGAGGGAATATAGGGGCAAAGGTTTTGCATTTTATAGGTATGTCAACTTTACCATATCAACAGCTTTAATTTTTATGTTGATAGAAGTTTATTATTAAACTGCAAACTGTGGTCAAGTTAGGTGACATGATTGGAAATCCCCGACGAACATGATGGTTTCCATGTCGGCGTCTCCCTCCCATTTGCTCTCACTCCCATTATGTTCAGTTTACCGATGTAATGCTTGTTGGGACGCTTTTATTGCACAGCAGGATTCAGAGTCTATTATTACTCCACATCTGTGAGAGCAGGTGCACTCACAGTGACAACAGGTAAACAAGAAACTAGTGAGACTGTAAATAAAGTAAACAACTTTTTCTTTATTTTATTCATCTTGCTCAAATTGCTGCAAATCAGTAAATGTAAATAGCCAGAGTTTGCTTTTTTTTTTACAACATCATGACAGCAATGACTAGGTTGAGCCTGACATTTCGACTTTGTTTTGCTCTATTATTCTCTGATTTCTTATGTTTTACTAACCAATTTTGAAGACAGAAAAATCACTGATGAAGAGCTGAGGCTCTACTCCAACATTATACTTCACAGGACCTGATAATCATGATAATCACAACATTTGTACCTCGTACATAAATGACATCTAACACAATCTATGCAAATATACTTTTAATGATGGTGGAGTTGTACTGATGAGAAGCACATGTATCAAAATATTCCCTGTTAATAACAAATGATGGGTTAAGGAAATGTACTTTAATACTTATATATAATAAAATGTACTCTAATACTTATGCTTATACGTTACCTGAGACCACAACATGGCACTGTGAAGAGTCGCAACAGGGCCAGAATCACCCTGAGGGGCAACAGCGTAAACACATAGAGGAAGGCGTCCAGACAGAGGAAGAAGCCGAATGTCATCAGCTGAAAACAGGAAGAGAGGGGAGAAATACATTTATTACAACTGTGTTTATTTCATTTCATTTTTTTTCTTTAAGTGTGGGGGTGTACAGTGTGTTCACCTTCTCCAGTTCTTTGGGGATGCGGAGGCATGTGTAGACCCTCTCTCTGCGCTCGGTGTATTTGGCCTCGTTGTGTTCTAGGAAGTAACCTCTGGTGAGCTCAGTAGTTATGAATCTGACCAGAGACAGGTCTACAGATACAGACAGGAATAAATTATTATTTTTACTGTGTTTTGAATCTATCACAAACAACACTATCAACACAGCACACATAGAGGAGTCCTTACTTAATGGTAAATTCAATCAGATGAGAACTGGCTACACTAAAACCAAAACTACTCGAGCTAATCTGCTGCTGGAACAGTCTAAACTCCTCTGCTGAAGCTTAGAAACATGAACGAAGGGATTTGTTTCCATTTAGCCACAAGAGTATTAGTGAGGTTGGCCACTCGTGGTTCGATCAGGCCTGGTAGGAACTCCAGTTCATCCCAAAGGTGTTAAGGTTTGGAAAGTTAAAGCTGTTCTGGTCACTTGGTTTTATATCAACTTTTTTTTATTTCACTTACATGTTTGAAGCGGCTTTAGGCCTTATACTATGTTCTTTTTTCTTTCTTTTTTTTTAAATATTAGGCTCCTTTTTTACATTATATAATGACAATGCATACTCAGTAGGGCTGGGCCATATTATACCGTTCACGGTATAATGTTAGGCAACGATAGGAAAATGAAATATCGCGATAGAATGGGAGTAAAACGCGCATGCGCAGTGCCTTTGTTTTCATACGCACATGGCCGATTGTTGAGTGAAACAGATGAACCAGAATTGGTTTGTAAAAATGGTGCAACTTCCGTGATGTGGAACTGGTTTGGTGTTTGTCCGTCAGATACACAACAAAGCACATTTTTTTGCAGAACATGCAAGCGGCCGTTGTTATTGTCAAATGACAATAACAAGATGCTCTTAAATCTGGGAGTAATCTGGGTCCTAAACTCCGTATGCTTCAGGTCAAACAACACTGCAGCATCACTTAGAGTTAAAAACTGTCTAAATTCTTTCATCTTTAATAAAACGATCAGCATTGCTGCTTTACCAGGTGTAACTATGAAGTTTAACTTCCAGGCATCCATGAAAACAAAAGTTATTACATTTAACGGAGTTAGAAGTTAGCAGGAAGCTAGCGGAAGTTAGCTCGCTAGTTTCGCTAGTTACCTAAGCATGATATAGCATGTTCTGACTGAGAGATTTCTGAAAAAATCAAACGTACAGCTCTGCTATCACTTCCAACATAAATGAAGACAGGAAACTAAACAGCAGTGACGTTTGTAGGGTTACTGAAGTTGGGCTAGCTGGTATATAATGATGTGCTACGTGATCGCTAGCGACACAGCTATGTTAGCATAACATAAACAGTGAAGCTGGAGGATGAACGCTAACTTTTTTCCACTTAAAAAGTTAACGTGAAGGTTCCTGATGGTTAGAGACAAATGCAATCGCATGGCAGGATGCTGTAAACGGACCAAACTTCAGTCAGGAGAACAACTGAGATAATCCATCCACAATACGAGGTTAGTCATTAATATACTGCAACAACATGGGAATAGAGCAGCTGCCAGAGAATTCAACATTAATGAATCAATGGTACAGAAGTGGAGGAAGCAAGAAGAATGAGTTTAATAAAGTTTGATTTATCTGACTGCTTTGTTTCGCTTAATGTGCCTTATAATCCCGTGCACCTTATGGTCCGAAAAATACGTACTGCACACTGCAGTTTAATGTTGCAAAGCACCTCTTTTTAACTTCAGTGGATATTATACATGGTTATGCTCAGGATATGTCAGCCCATTTCTACTGGAAATGCCTTTTGGTTAAACTTTCAGCAAGGAATTTGCATTTGCACTGTTACATTTTTATAAAGCTTTAATGTACATAAAAACCAGCTTCTTGTTTAAGTGAAAATAAATGGAAGGTTGTCTTTTTGCGCTAGTAATGTTGTGGAGTTGTATTTTGTCTCGCATCAATTATATCGTCGGTTATATCGTTATCGCAAATTTTCAAATATATATCGTGATAAATATTTTTGGCCATATCGCCCTGCTCTAATACTCAGTATTCTGTTCAGAGTCATCTGGTTTTTCAAGTACTCATAGCATATTTTGTTCCCTTTATTTGGATAAATCCAATAATAAAAAAGAAGTCCTCTTCATTAGTATTAAAATGGACTATCATTAGCATTCATTAACATCCAGTGCTTTTATTTAGGTATTTAATCTGACTTCTAAATCAGTGCAATTTAACCTATGGTAACGATATTTTATATGCGTGAACTCAAGAAGAGCTGAGAAACAAAGTCTTTGACATCTAGCAGTCTGGAAAGGGATACAAAGCCATTTCTAAAGCTTTGGGACTCCACAGAGGCATGGTGAGAGCCATTATCCACAAATGGAGAAAACTTGGACCAGTGGTGAACCTTCCCAGGAGTGGGCAGCCAACCAATATTACTCCGAGAGCTGATCGACGGCTCATCTATGACGTCACAAAAGAACCTGAACAATATCTGAAGAACTGCAAGCCTCACTTGGCTCAATTAAAGTCAGAGTTCATGATTCAACAATAAAAAAGAAGAGACTGGATAAAACATGGTGGTGGTAGTGTGATGGTCTGGGGTTACTTTGCTCCTTCAGGACCTGGAAGACTTGCTGGGGTAAAAGGAAACATGAATTCTGCTCTTTACCAAAACATCCTGGAGGAGAATGTCTGGCAGTCAGTGCCCTGAAGCTCAAGAGCACTTGGAGCACTTGCCAGCTATCGCAAACGCCTGACTGCAGTTCTTGCAGTGTTATCAAGGGTGACGCAGCCATCAGGTTTAGAGGGGAATTATTTTTTCACACAGGGACACGTAGGTTTGAATAGTGTTTTTCCCTTATTGAATGAAATCATAATTTAAAATGCATGTTGTACTTACTCTTGTGAACTAAGACCAATATTAAAATGTGTTTGATGTGAAGCAAATATGAAAAGGGCTCAAACAGTACTGTATTTTTTTTCCAGCTCTGGGGGAGCTTTATAGATAAAGTTTATTTTCTGAACAAAAGGAGCAGAGTTCAAAATATGTAGGTGTTTAGCAACCAAGAATGGTCAAAAAAATCTTTATCCAGTTGCATTAAAAATAGCAATATCGAGTATATACATAAGAAGACCGCGAGTGCACCTTCTGAATTCACAGAGAAAGAATATAATATGTATAAAATTTAGAAACAGCTGAGCTTTATGGAGGGGATGTACACTTTCTAATAAACAAATCTTACTAGAATAAACCACTACAATTTATGTTGCCAATCATCTGAAAACACATGGCCTTTTTTTCTTCTTCTTGCAACTGGGTCAAAAATGATTGCCGTAAGCATTACGTTGAGCAATCTTTCAAGTCAACACGGGTGTCTGTGCACCTATGGCTCACACGGTGTCCACCGACTCATCTGAGTGCGCCTGTGCAGAGAACCAAACCGCACGAGAAGCCAACTGGCTGATCTGGACTTTCTGCATGATCACATGCAGTACTGCTGTCTTACTAACAGTCAGAAATCCTCCAGCTAGATTTAATTTGGATGCATATCACACAATTGTGCCACCTGCTCGTTACTTTACTCCAGCTCAGTTTCTCACAAACAGCTGCTGAGGCTGCCTGCAGCTACATCCCCACAACATGTGCAAACTCGGAGCAAGCCCCGATAAGCTGCAGAAGCTCAGTTGACATTTTACATGCCTTCTCGAGAAACTCTACAAAAAACACCCTACAGCCGCCGTAAACAATAATTATCTCAGCTGCTAGCTAGCGCTGTCAAACTGGGAGTCAGCGCCTGTGGAAACGAAGCTAGCTCTCACCTGACAGGTTGCTCTTCTTTCCCCTGCTAGCGCCATTTTTATCGTTAAATCCCAGCGTCTCCGTGACTCCGTCTTTCTCCTTGTTCTTCCCCGCTGTGGCAGCCTTCTTCTCCCTCTCGCTGTCCTCCTTCTCCTTCTCTTCACCCAGATCTGTCGACAGCGCCTCCGCCATCTTCGCCAAACGAAAGTTTCAGGCCGCTGCTGCCTGGGAAACTGACGGTCAGACGTCATCACGCACTGCAGGTTGTCCAACTCACCGGCAGATGTCGCAAAAGCCCTGAGATTATTTGCCGCACATTATTTATTTTTTCCCTTTTCTCAGTTTATAATCCCACGAAGCTAAAGACATTAAAAAGACTGTATAAAATGACACAACTATCAGCTTACGTTTCATTATAACCTATTCAACTGAGAAAGACTGTGAATGAACAAAATAAAACATACAAAGCTGATTGAGTTTTTATTACCGTGTATGCAATAGATTCACTATCATCATAACCCTTTTCCAATTGCACCTATAGGCAATTAGGCAATTAGTTGTGTGAAAGTAACAGAAACACACACACAAATGTGTTCAGTATTTAAGGAATTTGCTGATTTGCGTGGTTCTGCTCTTCTTATCAGGGCTGTGCAGAGAGGTTTAAAGGGGCGGGTGCTCAAAGTTAAAAAGGGGCACATTGAACCAGGCTGAATAACAACAACACACATTCATCAAGAATCTAATATGGGCAACAAGGCAAAGCAAACGTAGCCGATGCTTTACCTGATGGGTACAATGTTGCTGTTGAGGGGTTGCTGTGGATAGTGCTGGAGGGCAGGGCTGTCTTGATTTGAGACTGTAAACATTAAAAAGTCCATAGGAGAGATGGTAGCTGATTAAACAAGTGTCATGAGATAATAACAAAATGCAAAGATTGGTGACAGCGCTTGGAACCATAAGGCAACAAAAAACTGTGAGAAATAATTTAGGCTCTGCCTGTGATTCACTCTTTGCTTCTCTTCTTCCTTC